CGTAGATACCTGCACAGGTATTGTATATACCTCGTACCTTGGGTTGGGGTTGGTTGGCTGAGATTGAACAATATAGCCGACTATGATTTTATACTAAAACAGCAACATCAGCATTTCCTTCGGGCCCAGTTGAAATACAAGTGTTGAAGTTGTAACTACGGTGTAGCTTGTTTCGAGCCAAACAATCGCTGAATATGGCGGATAGCATTTAAATCGGACGTTCAAAATGTAACACAAATTATGATATGTCACTCATAAGAGTAGTTATGCTGGGTGATTGTTGTAGCTGTGAATTGTTTCAACGTACAATAAGCAAGTATGGTGGTTAAGTGTGCTTCTTTAGGCTTGTAGATGTCGCTATGAAGAAGGTTAATCACACATATATGCGTGTATGTGGTGTTAGAGACTGTATTAATCCTGGTAGTCGTAATTTATAATTTCATGTAAAGAAATCAGATGCTGATGCTAGATGCTGGCTATTTGAACTACAAAATTCAGCTACACCAGATACTGTACATGCTATACTTGGCAGCCATAGGGGAAGGGAAAAAACACATGCGCCTGTTAACCCCAAGCACTTAAGGCGAAGTGACCTTGATTTTAAGGGCGACTATAGTATAGGCGCGAACCCAGGTGAAATACCATAATTAGTTTCAAAGAGAGAAAGACTACCAATTAGATAATGTTACGAAATTAATCATGATCACAGGAGGTGTAAAGTGTAATTAAGTGCATATGTACTCGTGATAAGAGTAAATGTAGCGATATCATTAAATTTAAAGATGGACACGAGCTATCGCGTCATACGAAACATATTAAGGCATCCAATAGGGAAGTCGTGATAGACACTAAACGTGTTAAGCGGTACAATAAACAAATGGAATACGCGACTGGTAATTGCAATCTGTTTATATATAGTTGACACTTTATAAACGACCAATACATGGACACGGGTAAGAATGTTATACTCAAAGCGATGCTGTACCTCTGTTCCGTGTTCAATTTGCTCAGACTCTAGGCACTCGAGCAGGCCCAACTGAACGTAAGGCTATAGGAAGTCTCGTTTCACGTGCGCATTACATTATTGCTACTAACAGAGGGAAGACGAAAATAAAAAGCGTCCTTATGTCACCTTCTAGAGCTAGTGACATATTAATACAAAAGAAATAAAATTTACACGCAGATCGAAAGTGGGCAGAAGGAACAGGGAGAAACAAACGCTTGGGGAATACAGTGGTATAGGTGCTTCCTCTTTTCTTTAAGAAGTTATAATACCTGCATTCTGTACTACACATAGAAGGAAGCCAAATTTAACAGTACTATGTTTGCTGCTCGAGTATCTGAACTATAGAAGGGGGTTAGCGGAGCTCAAACTATGGAATGAATAAGTCAGAAAGCGTGTATCGGATGACGAAATAGACAAATAAACAAATATGGACACTACACGCAAGGGCTCACAAAGAGTTTCTGTGTGGGAATAACTATATTGTTCATGGTAGTACATACGGATAGTCGCTATAGTATGTCTATCGCAGGTGCTCACTTCGACGTACACGGTACGACGTTACTACATTACATATACAGTTACTATTTATAAGATATTTCAAGTTGGACAAACCTTGCCTATCACAGAGCAAGCAGCAAACTGTACACCACATCATACGAAATCAGCAATCAACCTACACGACAATGTTGCATTATATATTGGCGATTGTATCGAGAGATAGATTGAGTCACCTGCATGTGTGTCCAACAACTTGTATTCCGCTACTTTTAGTGAGTACAAAAATTGTACGCCTATCAAAAACAACGGTATCTGCTGTAGAAATACGTATGTATGTGATATATCAAAAGGGTAGTGTGGTGCACCCAAAGACAACAGATTATATAACAATTCACTAGGAAGTAGTAAAATTATATACATTTGTAAAGTAACAGATGAAGTAGTGTAAGCGACTTGTACGTTAAAGGGCTTACTGATAGTTATGAACTCGAACGTCTCCTGTTATACGTTAAAGGGCTTACTGATAGGTATGAACTTGAACGTCTCCTGTCATAGGTCTGCACACTAATGAAGAAGAATAATGGTCGACTCGCATGCTCACAACAACGCGCAACGGACGACATATCCATCGAGTGGGGGCAAACTAAAATGGAACGTAACATGAAAGAGTTTCGATGATATTCTGTTATTAACTCGCTACATTGTCGTGTCATATCGCTTTGCGATTTTGACATAGCTAATCATGAAATACAGGTAGCTAAAGGGGCCTCATGAATTTTATAGCGCTGATCACTGACTGGAGGCAAAACAAGGCCAGCGATGTAGACTCGAGACTTTACACATATAGAGCCAGAAATTACAGCTGTCTTTATCAGCGATATCATAAATTTTCTTTATTTAAAGTAGTCTGAATCTATTGATGGCGAATCATGTACCCTATCAAAATTAAGCTTCGACCCCTTTTCCTAACCCTTTTTGCTACACAATCTCTAAGAAGCAGCTTCGTTTCTTGTGATGGCGGTAGACGCAGGGCTTTTCTATGTATATAAGAGAGAGGATTGTACTACTTGCGAACTTGTGCACATAGCAAATATCTACTCATCTCTTATAGCCTTATATCAACTCTATAAAAGGTTGATTGGAATTCACCAGTTTTTTATAATAATAAAATATTCCAAGTATTAACCCCGTCGATGGACCCAGTAGATTCTAATCCTACCACTCGTTCCAGACCGCTCTTACACACACGCAGTCCAAGGACTAAGCTCCTTAGCTTAGCTACTATCAGACCATCAGAAACAATCGCCAACAGTCGACACCGCCCTGTCGCCAGTATACGGATCTTTTCCAACAACAAGTACACAAATCACAGTCAATATCCCTTGATGTATATATCCTGAAACCTCGCTTTTAACGCACATCAACTGCATCTTCTTTTTTTTCCTCCTCGTCCAAGCTATATTTAGAAGCCTTCGAGTTTGCTGCTCACCAGCACTTTATATATACTCAGTGGTGCCAAAATATTGGTTCACTAGTTCTGTGGAGATAGTCACCTGTTGATCATGTTCTGTTGGTATGGAAAGAAAAATTCAACGTACGTCCCTTTTTAGATATTCATGGCAGCCTTTCGGGCTAGCATGTTGTACCTTGGGTAGTCTACCATCATAACGTTTGATTTGTAAACCTTTGGTATCACTGTTTATGCTCACGTGCGAACTGTCTTTATCCTTGTTCCATGCCGCAAAAGTTTATTATATTCTTCAAAATCGATGCTCTAACATAGCAGCGGTGCTAAACCTAACTTGCCGCTTCGAACTACATCTTACGGGAATACAGTTAACTCATACATGCCTCGTTCCCAACTACATATATATTCTTTGTTTTCTCGTAGATAGGTGATGATGTTTTCATGTGTATTTGTTTAAACGTAAGCTGCAGCGATTCAAGCTTCCACTCGTCACATTCAGCGAATGTACTACACACCGATTGTACGAAGAACATTAGCTTAGATTGAGTGGTTTTCACCAAATCTGTGTATATGAGAGATTGGTTGCCTTTGTGCAGAATATGCAAGTCTTTGAACACACTAGCATTTTGTGGCGAATCTTCCAACATATAACATAGACGCCATGGTTATATAAACACACTGTTACTATAATAGTCAGTCACATCAGCAATGTAACGCGAAGTCTTAAACTGTTAAAGCCAATTGCACACGATGCAGTTAGAAATACTATTTTGTTGTATGTGAGGTTTCCTGTAGGTCCGTCCAATACTGTCTGTACAGCAGCGGATGTACACATCGATCTGAATAATATATCTGCTGACCCAACACGTCATCGATTGTCAATCACGAGTGTATTGCAGCCAAGAACAATATAGTTCATATCATATGCTACTATCCAGTCGATAGCATGTACCTTCAGACTGTATGGCAGGGATCTGCTGCTCAGCCTCATTTGGCGCTACTATAAAATAAATATTAAAGTAGACACACTCAAAGTTATAAGCGCATACAGCGGCTCTACAAGTTGTGCATTCATCGAAGTCTTTCTTACATACAAAATCCGACTTATAAAAATATACCCGCTGCAAGTGTTCCACGTCTGTCTGACCATGAAGCGTTAGTCAGCTCCTCCCCAACTCTGAAAGCCATTGAAGACTATAAGCACTGCTACCTTCCCATGGTCAGCACTTTGTATCTTGAGTAACGAAGAAGTACAATCCTGAAGAAAGTTAATACAGCTACGTTATAGCATGGTCTCTTATGCATGTTGTTGTGCGTGCGTATAGATAAGTAAGCTTGCGTCTATAGCCACAATTCCTGAGAAGCAAGTGGCTGGCACTATTACTAGTAAAGGATCTATTAATGGTTTCAGACCTGCAGCACCCATGCTGTAATCGTTCTATGTACATGCGCAACTTATGTACATGTATAGCTATATGTACAAATCCTTATCTCTTATAATTTATAGTACAAAATGGTACACAAGTTCGCACCAAAACGCTAAACTCTAAAATTTTAAAGACGTATACTCAGTCCAGGTAGAAGCTATATTTTCGATGAAAAACGGCAAACACGTATAAAGCTCGATGATGGAATGCTGGGAGCGAATAGGATAGTGAAGAATATCATACATCAATAATTTGAAGTAAACTTGCAAGGAATCAGAATTATTGAATCACGATTTCAACTAAAACGGGTGAAGCATATGCTGAGAATTACTGTGTGGAACTGCACAATAGACTAAACTACAAGTCTTTTGATAGTTGTATCAATCTAGATCGCCGCGAGTGTCACACGAATTCACTTAGTTAGCATAGGTTTGTATTCATAAGTTCAATTAATAGTCGGTCTTTAAGCGCAATTGCTGATTTGGAACCATCTTGACGAGCCGTTAAGAGGGAAAACTCAGATCACGAAAAAAGATGATTGTACTGTAATTATCTTAGGTTATATCATTATCAATAATAAAATCAAATAAAGAAAGATATCTGGGAATTAACTCAGTTGGTAGAGTGCGTGCTTAGCATGCACGAAGTCGGGAGTTCAATTCTCTCATTCTCCAGACCATTTTACGCCTATTTTCATATCTGCTTGCGCATTTGAACAGTAAGTGCGACCC